GTGTTTAAAGGTTAATGCTGTGGCTGACCCTAACCCACAAACAGAGCCATTCCGGACACATATTAATTATTTACATATCCCACCACCTTCCTCTTCCTTTTGGTACTGGGGGCTATTTAACCCACCCTGCTGGCCCTGAGTTTTAGTGAGGGGCCAACAGTCCATTTGCCCACAACAGCAACACCATTGGCTGTAGCAGCTGTTACAGGGCAGAGGCCCCACTGGCCACATGGAATTAGGACAGGCCCAGATCAGTTTATCAAGTATCCTGATAATCAAGAGAATGGGGAGTTGGGGGGCTGTGGCTCCATCTAGTGGCCACAGGAGGAGTCACCTGTTTCAGGCCCTATGTGCACTGGTTGGGGGATTCACATAGCAAGCAGCACAATGGAAGGGGGGTCAGAACAGGGCTCTACTGCACACAAATCCCAGTATCTGTACTGTCTCCAGGTGATAGGACACCTGCTGCTAATATCACCCTCACATGGCTCCTCACAGCACCCCAGCTGCCCCTGCCATGGTGTAGGCAGGAGAGGATTGTTGCACCAAACTGACAGAGGGAGGAACAAAGGCTGAGAAAGGCAAAGGGCCTTGTCTAAAGTCACACAGCCAGTCACACAGAAGCCCTGATTCTGAAATTCATCCTCAGTCTGGAGTTTCAATCCCTGACTGATCAGAATAAAGTGACCTCCAATGAGGTACAGACCCACAGCCCTGCCTAGGGATTGCTCAACCAGTTGTTTAGAAGAACTAGAACAGGGGTGTGCAAAGATTTAACCTTCCTGCCATGAGCTGTACCACTCTCCTGGGAGAGGGGGAAGGGCTCTCCATGGCACACCCAATGGACCACCTGTTGCGAATGGACACTTACCATTAATAAGACCATAAGAAGAACATTAGAATGGCCATACTAGGTCAGAACAAAGGTCCATCCAGCCCAGTACCCTGTCTACTGACAGGGGCCAATGCCAGGTATCCTAGAGAAAGTGAACCAAACAGGTAATGATCAAGCAATCTCTCTCCTGCCATCCATCTCCATCCTCTGACAGAGGCTAGGGACACCATTTCTTAACCATCCTGGCTAATAGCCATTAATGGACTTAATCTCCATGAAATTTATCTAGTTCTCTTTTATATAATTACATCTGAGCCATTTTTGCTAGTGCTGCAGCTGGGGAGATCAGTTTAATTTATATTATAAAACAGGTTAAGCATTTTGACTTCCTTGTGTTACTTCATTTTAAATAAAGTAAAATATATCCAACACACAAGATGTAAACGTTTTCTTTATTTAAGGCAAGGGTGGAAAATCATTTTTTGGTTGGGGGTCACTGACCTGCAGAAAAAAAATCAGCTGGGGACCAGCTTTAGTATCACACCACACAGACCAGCATTTCTCAAAGTGTCCATAGGTCCCCATGCAGTGCCCCTAGGGCTCCTCACTGATCAGTGGATGAGATTTAGGGCTGTGCTTGCCGTGGTCGCTGGGTTTGGTTGGTTACTTCAATGACAATCCCATGAATTTGTTTTCACAAGGAATTTTTTCATCATTTAAAGAATCCCCACCTGCAAACTCACCCTGTCTGAAAGCTCCTAGGAATTTTCCTCTTGCTCTTTCCAGTGCAGAGGGCAGAGTGTCTGGTGGGGGAAGGGATAAGAGAGGTGCGATGCCAGGCTCTCCTATTTATAACAATGTCCCCACTACGAACTCTGCTTTTCAGTTGTATTAGAGACCAGACAGAGACACACTCAGGTATCGAATATGAAAAGGTCTGAAATCTTCTGTTTCCTCTCTCACTCAGGCACCTCCCAGCAATGAAGCCAACATCCCTGAAGCCTCACACCTGTCCCAGGAGAGACAAGCTGTAAATGAGATTTACTTTTCCCTCCTCATACCTTCCCACTTGGTTTCTCAGTCACTTACTGCCTCCTATTATAACCTAGGTGTTGCTATTACAGGAACTTTACCCATTTTGATCCCTTTTACACTAATGGGAGTGTTCAGAGTTTACAAACCCCTGGCTCAATTTTCAAGGAGTTGGATCTATTTGCTCAGTGTCTCTAAGGAGAACAGCATGATGGGGCCAGCATTCTCCACATGGGAATTGAGGCAGGGGATGGTTGACTGCCCAGCCCAAATTCAATAGTCTCAGATACATACCATAAATTAGCGTATATAACCCGCACTCGTGTATAACCCACACCCATTCATAACCTGCGGTTTTTCCTAAATGTGTAAAAAACTCTAAGATAATCCATGCACGTGTATAGCCCATGGGTTATATACCCTACTTTAAGGTACCTGGTAATTGCTGACCGGCCTGCAGGAGGGGAGCCGCACTTGCACACAGGCTCCGTGCAGCCACAGCCAGGCACAACTCATCCTCCTCCGGGTGGGGGAGGGGAGGATCAGAGAGCAGAGGCGAGTGGGCCAGCCTGCGGAAGGGGAGCCACGCTCGTGCCCAGGCTCCACTCAGCCAGGTGTAACCCACCATCCTCCGGGTGGGAGGAGAACAGAGAGTTGGGAAGAAAACAGAGAGTGCAAGCCAGCTGGCCAGCCAGCAGGAGTGGAGCTGAACTCACGCCTAGAGAAGTAAAAATAAACATATAGATCCCACGAGAGGAGTTGTGGTGTGTGTAAAACTTTGTATAACTCGCAGGTTATATGTGCTCAAACATGGTAAACCACTTTCCCCTCCTCCATCCCTTCTACATACCTTTGAACTCCCTCAGAGTCTCCGACAGCGCAATCCTTTTCTGGGAAAAACTGCTGATTTGTTCTTCTAGTTCAGGAGAAATCTCCTCTGGCAACTGGAACTGCCCCATCTCATACCTGGACAGAAACAATTTTTGGCCCGTTAGTTTCAACTCTAACAGGCGTGGAGTTAGAATTCCTCTAATTCTCCTACCCTGAGAACAGGAGCAACACAGCCCATGGCCATGAAACCTTCCCCTCAAAGGTCCCATCACTGTTCTTCACCTATGGCCCAGAGACCAGCTAGGGAACAAAAGTGGAACTGAGTCTCCATGGCCATCTCACTCCTTGGCCTCCACCTGGGAACCTCCTGTTCCTCAGCACCTTAAGGGCTGTAGAAATCTGCCCACTGAGAACTAGACTGAGACACCAGCTCCCCGCTCCCCAGATCCTTCCACACAGGTCTCCAAGCAGCTCTCGGGTGGGACAGACTCTTGATCCCTGCTGCCTTCGGCTCCCCCAGATCCTTCCACACAGGTCTCCAAGCAGCTCTCGGGTGGGACAGACTCTTGATCCCTGCTGCCTTCGGCTCAATGTGCCCAGCAGTGACAGGGCCATGTTCTAGCCCCACAGTCCTGAGACAGCCAGTCCTGGGGAGGTGACAGCTCTAGGAAACTCATGACATCAAACTGTGTCCCTGAATGGGGAATTCCAGAGTCTTCTGTGAAATGGTGAGACACTCAGAATTAAATGAGTCAGAGACATTTATATCCAACATCTGGTGCTAACATCAGCTCCAAGCTTTCTACGTGTGGTGCAGTATGAGGGGAGTGAGAGCCTGCTCAAGGTGCTTCTAATGTCCTAGAGAAAAGAGACAGAAAAGAAACTCAGCCCCATCGGAGACACACAGGGGACCTCAGGGAAGGGATTTTGCAAATACAGGGAAGAGACATCCTGGCCTGACCCCAGGGCCATCGATTCCCTTAGCAAATGTGGCTTTGCCATCTCTAATGTCTCTATGCCTGCAACCCTACAAAAATTAACTGTCACTCACATGTCAGCAACGCACAAGGTGTTACACAGAGATCTGACCTCTGTCTCACCTGCAGGAATTCACTCACTGGCTTCTGACACTTTCCCTCAGGATGGGAAATCTGTGTGGAGAGTTTCCTGAGTGAGCCATTCTGGAGCTTGACAATCTCCTCATTCAACCTATCCAGCTGAGCCAGCAGGAGTAGCTTTTGTTCCTCCAGGAACTGCCTCAGCTGCTGAAACTCAGCCACAATCTTCTGCCTCTCGACTTGTGTCTGCTTCTGTACGAAAACAGGGAGAGGGCTGCTTGGGGTATGGATGCAGCCTGGGGCCCTTTCATTGGGAGGTGACTGCGTAGCCATCTTGATCTCTTTGCTGCCTGGAAACTCAGTGGCTTGGCTAGTTCTACCACGTTTGCCAACCACCAACTGGGCTGGAGGGGTCTCTGCTGCTCAGTGTCTCTGCAGTGAAGTCTGAGGGGAGCCTGGCAGAAATTGTGCCCACACTCAAGAGTGACAGGGGCTGTGAAATCCTCCACACAGAGACTTTCCATGGCTGCCTCCAGGCTGGGGAGCAGGGGTTGTGTCACTTTCCTGAGCTCAGCAATGGAGGAGCAGGTCCAGAGGGCGGTGTGTGAGGTACCAGCACTGAGGATACAAAAAAAGTCAGAATTAAAAATCAAAAAAATCAAAAAGTTTTGTTCACCCACCGCCCACGCCAGGGCCTCCATTCAGGCCCCTCAGCCACCTGCTCCAGCCAGAACCGCCCCTCCCGTCTCTGCGGCCCTCATGCCACGGCCCCTCCTCACCCTGTGTTCAAATCCCCCTCTCCGCACACTCTGCAGCCTCTCTGCGCCCTGGCCCGCAGTCCCCCCACACCCAGCCTGGTGGGAGCATCAGGGAGCGACCGCACCGCCCC